CAGAAAAGCACGCACAACGTCTGCCACATAGCTGTTTATTTTGAGAAGAGTTTCTTTCCATCACTCAAGAACAAAACGTTGCTTTTCAATCCTGAAACCAGCAAGATTGATATAAAGAAAAAACAAAACCCCACAAGCCAACATGGAGTCGTCGTCCCCCATCAACAATGATCATGTTGCAACATTCTAGTTTTTTAACTCCATCTTAAACAGTCAGCTACAACCCAGTCTTTGCTCATTTATTAGGCAGCGACCCTCAAAATATTCAGTGGGGCTTATTCCCAAGGAAACATGCATAGGATCACCAGCTACAGGTACAGAGCTCTCTTCCTAACATGGAATGCACCCCATTAAAAGAGGACTGTGCTTTTGTTAACATATGAAGCTACTCAGATATACAGCAGTTTGAAGCAACACGCTTGATTCTCAAGATGTTGAATCTTTAGCCTAACTTGCAGGGACTGAGCTGGGTTTTCTAATTCTCAGCGGTCACTTTTGCAACGCTGCGTTTATTCGACACCAGCAGTGAGGATCCTCTAGCCTAGGGGTCAGCAAATGTTTTCAGCAGGGGGCTGGTCCACTGTCCCTCAGACCTTGTGGGGGGCCAGACTATATTCTGAAGGGGGGGGGAATGAACGAATTCCTATGCCCCACAAATAACCCAGGGATGGATTTTAAATAAAAAGCACACATTCTACTCATGTAAAAACACCAGGCAGGCCCCACAAATAACCCAGAGGTGCATTTTAAATAAAAGGACACATTCTACTCATGTAAAAACACGCTGATTCCCGGACCGTCCGCGGGCTGGATTGAGAAGGCGATTGGGCCGGATCCAGCCCCCGGGCCTTAGTTTGCCTACCCATGCTCTAGCCTGTGGACCATTTCAGACCTGATACCATTTGACCTGCAAGACCGCTTTGGCCCAAGGTACGTCCAGCTAACCCTCCCCTTTATTTACGTAATAAATGGCATCAGGTGTGGTGCAGGATTTAGTCATCTGATGCCACCAATGACACCTGGCGGGGGCTCCAAACGTGACCCACGGGAGGTCGCAACCCTGCTCTGCATTACCTGTTCTTTGGAACAGTGATGATTTCTCACAATGGTTTGGCCCTGAACTCCCAGTCGTTTGATGGGTCAACACATCTGCTTGTTAACCAGAAGGTTGGTGGGATGAGCCCACCCAGGAATGGCTGTGGGCAGGATCCGTGCATGGCAGGGGCTGGATCTGGATGAGCCTTGGATCCCTTCCGACTCTACCATTCCAAGGCTGGTGTGTTGCGTTCAGCTGGGAAGGTTCACAAGTCGTGCAGACCCACCTTAGCACAAGAGCCTGCAAACACGTCCCCCTTCCCCACGGGACACTGGAGACCTCCGGCTAACCTACCAGCGATCTGAAATGGTTGATATTCCTAAAGTATCTGTAGGCTAGGATAACGAAGTGCTTTGACAATAATACAGAACCAGTCCAAAAACCAAACAATTAAAAATAAAACCAGCAAACTTGGTTCAGTATAGGTCTAAGCAGTTTTTTTAAAAAATCAAGCCACATCAAAGAATGATTACTTCACTTGATTCTTCTGATTGTGCAAACTGGCTTCAACCAAGGAGTCTGGATAGCTCAGCTGGTTAGAGCGTGGTGCTGGCAACGCCAAGGTTGCAGGTTTGAGACCCGTATGGGGCAGCTGTGTATTTCTGCACTGCAGGCAATAGACTAGATGAACCTTTCCAACTCTAGAATTTGATGATTCTAAGGAGTCGTTGGCCATGATCCTAAGTTGCTCCTCCGATCATGTAAGGGGAGGAGGGGGGATCTTTCTGCCAACTCTCCCTTCCACCTGCAGTCCACTACACCAAATCCTCTACCAGTCCCAAGGGTGACCCAGCCTCCAGGGGCTGCAGAGAAAGGAAAACCATGTCCTGTGTGCACGAACTCTGCTGCATTCATGGAAAGAAAAAGAAGACCCAAGCTATTTTGTTTTCATTTAAAGCACGTTTTACAAGCGGACAATCTGCTGGTGTCTTGTGTCAGTTACTTCCACTTTTGTCTCTTTTCGGCATCTCCCAGGCCCTGTGGAACAGCTGTCTGGCCATACAACCCTTTCAGACAATCCTTTATTCCCTCCTAGAGATGTACAGAAGGGAATCACAGTATGTTTTTGTACGCAAAGGTGTTCTATGCAACACCCTATTGCTTTGAAGCCAGGCCTGTGTGTTTGATTTGCATTGATAAGTTGCAGGCATGGTTCCGCTCACGCAACAAAGGGGTTTCAGTTATAATTTGGGGAAGGGAAAAACTGGAGTGAGTGACGGCTTGAGAACGTTGATACTCAGCAGCCTTTAAATCAACATGCCAGCTACAAAGCCATCGTAATTCAGCTGGTAGTTTCGAACAGACGCAGGGCGTTTGGTTTCAAGCAGCTCCTAAGGTGGAAATTACCGTATTTTTCGCTCTATAGGACGCACTTTTCCCCCTCCAAAAATGAAGAGGAAATGTGTGTGCGTCCTATGGAGTGAATGCAGGCTCCTTGGCTTCAGCGATAGCAACGGGAAGCCTCCGAAGCGCAGAGGGAGCGCTCCCTCCGCGCTCTCCAGGCTTCGCGTTGCTTTCGCTGAAAGCGCCAACTGAAGCTTCAGGCAGCTATCCGCAAGCCTTCGGAGCGCGGCGGGAGTTCACCCCGCGCTCCGAAGGGTTGCGGATAGCAGCCTGCAGCCTGGGGAGCGCAGCGCCAACTCCCGCTGCGCTCCCCAGGCTTCAGGCAGCTATCTGCAACCCTTCGGAGCGCGCCCCCAGCCACGCAAGCTCTAGGAGCGGCGGCAAGGCTGCACGCAACCTTGCCGCTGCTCCCGAACCTGTTCTGGGGGCTGGGGTCGGGGGAAGCTCAGGCTTCCCCCGCCCCAGCCCCGCGGCTAAAAACGAAGCCAAGAGAGCGAGCGGGATTTTTTTTTTCTTTATTCCCCCCCCTAAAAACTAGGTGCGCCCTATGGTCTGGTGCACCCTATGGAGTGAAAAATACGGTATTTGCACAAGGGCACCAGTGGTGCAAAATGACATCCCAGCCAAGTCACTGCTAAAACCCCCAACTGAATTTAATGCAACTTTGCACTTAACAACAGAGGGAACAGTCCTAGCTGGCAGCCCAGTGGGAGTTTATGGAGCATCAGGGGCACTGCCATATCTGCAGCCCTGATGCAGCTGGGTTGGAGGCAGGCAGATTGCTATGCCAGCCTGGAGCTGGTCCGCAAGGGCTCGGCTGTGCCCCTCGGAAGACCTGCTGATGCTGTTGATGGGGGTCCTGCTGTGGGCAGAAAGGGGCGCTCACTAAACTGGCAGCAGCCAGTGAGAGCCGATGGTGGCTGGCTAAGCCAACCCGGTCCATTGCCTGGCAGCCATAAGCAACAAGGAACTCCATGCAAGTGAGTTAGCTTGCTGCAGGAAGAACAGTTCCTCTTCTACTGGTCCACTTGATTTCTGAACAAGGGAAGGAAAATTGCTTCATACATAAAGGTAAAGGGACTCCTGACCATTAGGTCCAGTCGTGGCCGACTCTGGGGTTGCGCCGCTCATCTCGCTTTATTGGCCGAGGGAGCCGGCGTACAGCTTTCGGGTCATGTGGCCAGCATGACTAAGCCGCTTCTGGCGAACCAGAACCAGCGCACAGAAACGCCGTTTACCTTCCCACCAGAGCAGTACCTATTTATCTACTTGCACTTTGACGTGCTTTCGAACTGCTAGATTGGCAGGAGCAGGGACCGAGCAACGGGAGCTCACCCCGTTGCGGGGATACGAATCAGAAGGTCGGCAAGTCCTAGGCTCTGTGGTTTAGACCACAGCGCCACCCGCGTCCCTACATACATAGCTAGCTTGAGAATGCAGGGGTCTGGCAGAGGGGAGGATGCATCGCTCCATCTGTCTTCCACTTCCTAGAAGGATCCTTTCCCCCTCTAACACTAGCCTGCTAAGTGGCTGGCATGCTGTATTTTCAAAATAAACGACTATGCCTTTCTGGCCAGCATGGAGATGCATGATAACATCCTCTTAGCAGTCTGATATTTTTGGAGTGGTGGTGGTACCAGGGGGCAGCAAGCTAATAAGGCTGAATTACTGCCACAGGCCTAGTTGTTATTGGAGCATAGTCACAGGGCGAAGGGCGAAAAGAAAGCATGAAAAGGCAAGCCATTTGCTCCCTCCAGGCCCACACAGAGGGGGCCCCAGCCAGATACACTTGCCCCAGGCCTCGGAGATCTAAGCTGGCCAAGGGGCCTGCTAGGGACCGGCTGCTTTTTTGTTGGAGTTGAGTAACTTTATTCTAGCAGGACTCCCGCCCTGGGGCCTCCGACAAGCTACGCTTGCCCCGCTCTGTATCAAATACTCAAGTCTATGTACGCATAGCGGCTTAAAATGCAGTGAGGTAATTCGTCCCTGCTGTCACATTTGCAAATGTACAGACCAGAGATGGGTTTGGGGCGCTCATTTCCTGGTTTGAGTCCTAGTCAAGGAAGCTGCCGGCATGTGCGCGACAGCTGTCAGAAGTGGATGCACCTCAGCTTAACCTTGGCTTGTGTTTTCAAATCAGGGGGAAGCTGGTTTGAGGTCCCTGGCGCCAACTCTGTGGGGCCAAGGTTTCTTCACCCCACAAAAAATATCTGTGGGAAGACGAAAGAGGTCAAATACAGAGCCAAGAGTGGCACGTCTTCAGTGGCCGGCTCCTCCTGTCCACAAGAAAGGAGGAGCCACCAGTCACTGAAGCTGCACCCTGTTGGGCTCTACACTCGGCCCCTCCCGCCGATGTGATGTCGCACGCATGCATGATGTCACAAGCACACTGGGCCCCCTCAATCTGGGGCGCAAGTTGGCACCTCTGCTTGAGGTGATGTGTACACAGCCTCACTTTCTTCACAAAACAGTAGCCTGACGTGCATTAAGTCTAAAAACTTCGAAGGCATTCGCAGAGAATGCATATGACCAAAATGGATTCTTTTACCACAAAAACGTCTTCGGCTTTAAAACGTTTATTGACGTGCCTGAGACGCTTGTTCGTCCAGGCGGTTGCCTTCCGTTGCTTGCTTTTCGTTTTGTTTTATGGAGAACGGGCTTCGGTTAACTTGCTCAGCAGAGCTGCCTCTGAACTGCTTCGAGTGTGGAGTTCCTCTCTATTCCTCTTGCAAACAGTTTCATGAGTTGGCAGTGGACCCTGCAAAAGGGAAGAAAAGAGCGGAATAAATGCAGATGTATTAATTGTGAACTAGGCCAGTCATCGGGAAGAGCAAACCCCTTTGCTATTCCAGGGGAACTGGTTGTTCACAATGGCACCCCAGAGTAAGTCAGAGAAAGTCATGGTTGCCTTGTCATATTGGTGGTGAAGAGCTTGTGTTCCCTAGATGAGAGGCAGGGAATAAATGAGCAGGGCTGTTGTGGATTTTTTTCAGAGATATTTAATTATGTTACTTAAAATGTGGCATTATTATGGTTGCTATTATTAGTACAGTCGTACTCGAACGCCTTGTGACTCAAACGTTTTGGCTCCCGAACGTCACAAAGCTGGAAGTGAGTGTTCCAGTTTGCAAATATTTTTTGGAAGTCAAATGTCCGACACGGCTTCTGATTAAGTGCAGGAAGCTGCTGCAGCCAATCAAAAACTGCGCCTTGGTTTTCGAACGTTTTCAGAAGTCAAACGGACTTCCGGAAACGATTCCGTTTGAGAACCAAGGTACGACTCGAGTATCGTTCAGTTTGGAATGTGGAATGTTGCATTATATTTCTTCCACTGATTCCCTTTTGGTTGGGAATTACAAACCGCTTACAGACTTCTGCAGAACTATGAAAGAAAACAAAACATTTTGGCCACAGTCCAGCCAAATTTGGGGTCAGTTCACACAAACACATGTCAGGACTCATTAACTGAACATCCACTCGACTAGTTTTTATATTCCTCAAGACATAGGGCCAAACTATGTGTGATGCTAAACATGCAGCGAGGGGTTGCATGTACCATTTTGAAACTGTAAAAGCAGCTGCTGGGTCAAATACAGAGCCTGAATTAGGATAAAGACTGTGAGAAGTAGGCTTTAACTTCCTCCTCCATCACTGAGGTACCAATGAACTGTAACTCTGCCTTCCCGGAAGTTGCTATTCGGTACGGAGGTAGGTCTGAAAATTCAAGCATGTTATGACCTCTCATTTTCAAGACTTCCCGTTCAGGGTGTATGGCTTTGTGTGTGTGCTAAATAACAGATTTCTATCTGCTGTGGAGACCATTTTTTTGCAGCTCCCATCAATTAAGGAGCGAGTGAAACTGCCGCATCTTTAAAAGCACAGATCCCTTTTTTCCGGAAACGAAGATGCTCACGTGACTTCAATTGTTGAACAATCCAGCGTCTCTCCGTCGCAGTTCCAGGTGCTGCTGGGAGGAATGCAGCAGCAAGCAGGGTGGTCTCTGCAGAAATGGCCAAAGCGATTCTTCTGCATTTTCTTGGCATCGCAGTCACCGTCCTCTAAATGTTTCGATGTGAACTGAAACTTCTTGATCCGATAAACCTCCACAAAGCTGAAGTCAAACTGCAGAAAAGGGAGAAGAGGCAATCTGTTGCGTTTGTTGACTCAAAACTCAGCAAACCGCTTCTGTTAGTTCAAAGCAAGCCAGAGTTCAGTATAAAGAAAGATGCAGGTCACGGATTTCGAATGGCTTCGGCACATCTAAATTGGGACAATTCTGCTCACCCCCATCGTGCAACCCGGACACTGAGATCCAGTGCCGAGGGCCTTCTGGCAGTTCCCTCACTGCGAGAAGTGAGGTTACAGGGAACCAGGCAGAATGCCTTCTCGGTAGTGTGGAACGCCCTCCCAACAGATGTAAAGGAAATAAACAACTATCTGACATTTAGAAGACATCTGAAGGCAGCCCTGTTTAGGGAAGTTTTTAATGACTGATCTTTTAATGTATTTTTAATCTTTTGTTGGAAGCCGCCCAGAGCGGCAGGGGAAAACCAGCCAGATGGGTGGGGTAGAAATAAATTATTATTATTATTATTATTATTATTATTATTATTATTATTATTATCAGTGTTCACCTGGTCCACGTTGAACCAGCTGGATGTCAACAATGGTGGGTGGCTAGTCATTTACAAACAAACTTGGATCTGGGTCCTCCTTTAAAAATCCCGTAAGGCAGGTCAGAATTATTCCCATTTTACAGGTGGAAAACTGAGTGTGAAATACTGAGACTTGCCCATGCTATCCAGGAAAGAGAGTGACCCTCTGCAAAGTAAATGGAATGCACATTACAAAATGTATGGCTGTTTCCTCAAGACTTTTGGAACGGTCAATTCCTAGAATGGCGTTTGAGTGGCTCCTATGACAAGCTCAGGAAGAGGCACTGTAAACTTTTATTCCTTGATATTCAATAGATGCACCTTTGCCCATTCTTAACTATAATGTACGAAATGAATCAAATCTATTCATAACAAAATATTCATATACCACCATTTATTTTAAAAGAATATCAGGATTGTACAGAAAACTATACAATTAGAAAGAAAACCGTATGGAAAAGTTAACATCGGAAATCAGCAAACTGTGGTGTAAAGATGTGTTCTTAATTGTCTGCAGAAGACTGATGGAATAGAAACATTTTCAGCATAATGAGATGCTAGGCAGGTTGAGATAACATTGTTGATTGCTCTATATGATTTGTGATGTTCGGGAAGGTAAACAGTGTTTCCATGTGCTCTGGCTTCCATCACGGTGTCCCGTTGCACCAGAAGCGGTTTAGTCATGCTGGCCACATGACCTGGAAAATCTGGCTGAAGACAAATGCCGGAACCCTCAGCCTGAAAGCGAGATGGGCGCCACAACCCCATAGTCAAATTCGACTGGACTTAACCGTCCAGGAATCCTTTACCTGTGATTTTCTGTTATTTTTATCTGTTGTCTGTAAACTGCTTTGAGATTCACTTGAACGAAAAGCAGCATAGAAATATAATATATCAAATAAAAATCAAATCAACAGACCCATCCCTTCAATTGTACAGTTCGGGCTGGGGCTGGGGCGTGGAGTTCTGTTTCCTGGAGTCTAATGGAACGCTGGGAGCTGAACTCATTATTTATAGAGTGCCATAAATGGTTGTGGCACTTTGCAGATTTACACTAAGTAAAACAAGAACAGGCTCCTGCCCCAAGGAGTATATATCATACATAAAGAACAGAGCAAGGGAGAAACAAATAACTGCCTTGTTTGTAAGTAGCTGTCTTCCTTCGATGTTATTAACCAGTTTTGAATTTGGCCTTTTAAAAAGAGAAAACATAATAGTACCGTATTTTTCGCCCTATAGGACGCACTTTTTCCCCTCCAAAAATGAAGGGGAAATGTGTGTGCGTCCTATGGGGTGAATGCAGGCTTCAGGAAGCTCTGTGCAACCCTCGGGAGACCGGCTCTGAGGGTTGCGCAGAGCTGCCTGCAGTCCCAGGCTCAGCGCAGCTCTGCGCGGCCATCGGGAGCGGGGCGCGAAGTCCCTCCCCGCTCCCGGTGGCTGCGCAGAGCTGCCTGCAGTTCCGGGCTCAGCGCACTTCTCCCCATCGCCAGCCCCACAAGCTCGGGGGACAGCGGGGAGGCAGAGCGTGCCTTCCTGCTGTTCCCCGACCTGGTTCTTCCAGCCCCGCACCTGGGGGGGAAATAAATTTTTTTTTCTTTATTTCCTCCCAAAAAAAACTAGGTGCGTCCTATGGGCCGGAGCGTCCTATGGGGCGCAAAATACGGTAATTGTGTGTGTGTGTGTGTGTGTGTGTGTGTATTCTGAAACTCATTTGTCGGCTGGTGGGGGCGGGGAGAACCCAAGGTAGTTCTGAGGCAAGGAAGAAGGGCTACCCCTGCTATCCATATAATCAGTTATCAGAAACCAATATATTCAATATATATATATCCAAATATGCTTACACAAATCAAGGATTACAGTACTTTATAATCCATTTTGAATCAAAAGGGAAGCTGTGCCTTAGCTGACTGCAAACTGCTTGAGACAGCAAAATTAGGAGTTGACTTTCCCCTAAACATCTGTGCACCCCGGACAAGGGAAAGACATGAATCAGAAATTCTGGTACAAATTCCCCTCAGATACAGGCTAAATTAATCCACAGAACAGGAAGAGCAAAACCACAAAATGTCCAAGCTCCGGTCCTGTCATAACTAGGGGAAAGGTTAGACAGAGCGTCACTGCAAGCATCGGAAAGCAGAACTAGAACCCGGTGCTGACCAAGGCTTGACCAGGGGTCGGGTAGCGTGACAACCGCTTGCTGATTGGCTGATTCTCGCTGACAATATTGTGAGTCCCTCGTGATTGTCTGATGATCAATGATTTGCTGTGATTTACTCAGGTATAAAGACCTCTGGATTTCTGTCTATCGGGGTCCCAGTTCTTTGGAAGATATTCCAACTGGGTCCTTATTGCCTGGCAATAAACCTCACCTTCTTATTCTCCAGTTGCTGTCTCTGGCTGATCCTTATTTAAACTCACCACGGGTTTACCTTTGCAACAGTTCAATATGCATCAGTGCAAGCAGAGAAGAACTGCCAAGCAGGTGGACAGTCAAGCTGTTCAGCAAACTCAAGCACCTGAACCTGAGAAATGAGCAGCTCAGGCCAGATGCTGGACTTCTGACTCCCATCAAGACTCCAGCGAGCATGGCCAGGAATCCGACAACATACAAAGCACCACAATGTCCTCACCGCTGCTGTGCAGGGCCAGGTATGACCTGTGACCCCTTTGGCTGCTTGATTCTTGCTGGGAAAGGTCAATTTCATACCGCAGTGGAAATCTGGCCAGCTCTCTCCTCTGGCCAGCTTCTGCAATAGTGCGGACAGTATCAATAAAGCACTTGGCTCCCACAGTCTCTACTTTTGAGATTCCTAACGCATTACAAGAACTTCCACCTGCCAAACTTTCCCCCTTGCCACAGACCAATTAGCGGCGCAGAAATCCAATTCCGGCGAGCAGCTGGCAACTCCACTTTTGCCGGAAAGGGTTTTAACGCCATAGCCAATCCGAATCCGTGGTGTTTCTCCTCCCTCTCCCCCACCCCCCCAAAAAAACAACCCGTAGGCTGCTATCGGAGCTTCTTTCAAATTATGCCCAATCTACATTTGTGTTTTTGCAATGGGAGCGCAGGATTGGCAATGAACGTCACCCCGCCTTTCAATCCGCCACAGCAGATACACACCTGGTCATCCCGGTTCGTGTGCCTGATGAGATACCTTAGGAAATTGAATCGGGAGCATTTGCGAACCAGAATGAGGTCTGAGGAGCCGTCTGCCAAGTGAGCAGCTGGTGCAAGGCCTTTCGGGCTCCGCGGGCAGGCGCAACTGATATTTGCAATGTTGATGGCCAGAAACTTTCCCCTGATGACCTTCCATTCTCCTTCGTCATCCCCTTAAAAACACAAACAGGTATATTTAGCACAGAGGCAGTGGGATGGGAGCCACAAACATGACGATTTGGCCACGATTTGGATTTCTAAAGGTGTCTTATGGCATTGCCGGTTCTCTTACGTGTGCAATAATAAGGTAAAGGTAAAGGTACCCCTGCCCGTACGGGCCAGTCTTGACAGACTCTAGGGTTTTGCGCTCATCTCACTCTATAGGCCGGGAGCCAGCGCTGTCCGCAGACACTTCCGGGTCATGTGGCCAGCGTGACAAGCTGCATCTGGCGAGCCAGCGCAACACACGGAACGCCGTTTACCTTCCCGCTGGTAAGCGGTCCCTATTTATCTACTTGCACCCAGGGGTGCTTTTGAACTGCTAGGTTGGCAGGTGCTGGGACCGAGCAACGGGAGCACACCCCGCCACGGGGATTCGAACCGCTGACCATGCGATCGGCAAGTCCTAGGCGCTGAGGCTTTTACCCACAGCGCCACCCGCGTCCCTGTGCAATAATAAACCAGGGCACAAATTTATGACACGTTCTTTCGTTAGCAAGCTATCCAAGTTAAAAACACTGCACATTTTCAAATACCGGTTGTCCACAAGGCCAACTGGCTCTGCATATTTGTCCTCTGGAATAGGGCTGCAAACTAACTGGCAAGTGAGGTCAGACAGGAGACAGTGTGTTGACTTGTATCTTCGACAAGGTTTGGATGTGCAGGAATCAGAATGCTTTTTATAGCACTTTTATAGCTGTTGGCACCTGATTCGCTCTCGTTACCTAGAGACTGAATTGCTCTAGAAGAAAAGTTACGGGGCCAGAGGCAAGAGAAGGCAGAGCAATAAGTGTTTCTGCATTGTAAAAAAAAAAGGGGGGGGCAACTCTACTTGAAAATAGAAGGTACTGCCAAAGTCAGTCTTATGATGCTAGAGCAACAGGGGTTATGGGTATCCTCTTCTAGTATGTCTGTGGCTGTACTTTAAAATGGACATGTTGGGTTGCATCCAGACTAAGCTGGATGCCTTGGTAATGGACTGGATGAGAGCCAACAAACTGAAGCTCAATCCAGATAAGACAGAGGCACTGTTAGTGGGCCGTTCCCCAGCCTGGATGGATGGGAAATCGCCTGTTGTTGATGAGGTTACACTTCCTCTGAAGGAGAAGGTTCGTAGCTTGGGGGGTCCTCCTGGATCCCTTGCTGTCGCTCGAGGTGCAGGTGGCCTCAGTGGCCCAGAGTGCCTTCCATCAGCTTCGGCTAGTGGCCCAGCTACGCCCCTATCTAGACAGGGATAGCCTAACTACGGTTGCCTGTGCTCTGGGAACCTCAAGGTTAGATTACTGCAATGCGTTCTACGTAGGGCTGCCTCTGAAGATGGTTCAGAAACTTCAGCTGGTGCAGAATTCAGTGGCCAGGTTGCTCACCAGAGTAAGACGGTTTGAGCATCCTGGTCCGACTGCACTGGCTACCAATTAGTTTCCGGGCCCAATTCCAAGTGCTGGTTTTGACCTATAAAGCCTTAAACGGCTCAGGACCGCAAGACCTCAAGGACCTCCTCTTTCCATATGAACCTACCCAGACCCTGAGATCATCTTCTGAGGCCCTCCTTCGTGTGCCCCCTCCTTGAGAGGTCCTGAGGATGGCAACACAAGAACAGGGCCTTCTCTGCAGTGGCTCTCCGTCTGTGGAATGCTCTCCCCTGGGAGATTCACCTGGCGCCTTTATTAAAGACCTTTAGTCACCAGGCAAAACCGTTCCTTTTTAACAGGGCCTTTGGTTGATCTGATTGACATCGTATGCCCTTTTAAAATGTGGCTCTTTGGGGGGGAGTGTTACTGGGTTGTTGTTTTTATTTTGATTATATACATTGTGGTTTTTATGTTGATCTTATCTGTGAACCGCCCTGAGACCTCTGGGTATAGGGCAGTATATAAATTCATTCATTCATTCATTCAATAAATAATCAATCCCTCCCCCTCCCCTTTTATGAAGATCACCCGCTCTGAGACCCCACAGCTAATTCTCCCCTGGCCTCCTCGCTGGCCCAAGTAGGACCAATTCAGCCAGCTAATCCTGGGGATTATCTAATTGATTTTTGATTTTTATTGTTATTCATGTTTTTATACTGTATTTTATGCTGCTTTTATAATTAAGTTTTTAAAAGTGTTTTAAATTTGTTGTAAGCCACCCTGAGCCCTGTTTTTGAACTGGGAAGGGCGGGGTATAAATAAAAATAAAAATAATCTGCAATTTGGTCCTATAAAAACCAATGGAGCAAGTTAGTCATGACTTCAGTCCTTGATTTCAATAGGAACTATGTTCAAACAACTACAGCTGGCGTCCTAGGTATGTCTGCTCAGAAGCAAGTCCAACCCATTCTAAGTTGGACCCTTCAGTGAAGATGTGCAAACAGGAAGAAAGAAAAGCACTCACATATGAAATGCAGATTTCGTTTGCAGGGCCCTGTGGCTTCCATCACAACCCTCATCATTCATACCAAATGATCCATTAATGATGACAAGCAAAAAAGCATCACTTTGAAGAAAGCTTACCTGGTCTGAAACCCATGTGAATCTCTTCTAGGCTTCTGGTTTAATTCAGTTTCTCTAATCATCCAAATTTGCCCTTGCATTTGTTGCTACATCACCCGGTGCATTAAGAGGCCAAATGAACAAATCTGCTAACCACCCTGGGTCTGGTCTTCCATATAGTATAAAATTACCTTTAATCTCTCCCCCATTCTTCTTCTGCTCTATCTCCAGCCGTTGTTTACTCTGCTTGCAAATGTGGCACCTGGAGAAGAAGAGTGAGCCTGGTTTTTTCCCCCTCTGCAGTCTGAACCGGGCATTAATGTTTCATTCGTTTAGCCAGATTGTCTGCAGTATGTCAGGCTGTGTTGTAAGCAACATTTTATATGTCATTTAAATGAGAAGCTAACCTCTGGAGCAGCCTTTGGGAATTCTGTACCAGAGTCATCTTGAGTTCTGAAGCCACGTTTTCCAAATATTTGAGATTTTGTTTGGAGGCAAACAATGAAATTGATTGCCTCTCTTTGGAATACAGTGGTACCTCAGGTTACAGACGTTTCAGGTTACAGACGCTTCAGGTTACAGACTCCACTAACCCAGAAACAGTACCTCAGGTTAAGAACTTTGCTTCAGGATGAGAACAGAAATCGTGTGGCGGCAGCAGGAGGCCCCATTAGCTAAAGTGGTACCTCAGGTTAAGAACAGTTTCAGGTTAAGAACGGACCTCCAGAACGAATTAAGTTCTTAACCCGAGGTACCACTGTAGTTGTCACGTGCTTCAAAATTTCTAGCTGAAGCCCTGCACTGCTATAATGGATGCCTATCTTTTTTCTTAATGGTTCTTTAAAACAAACAAACCCAAAAACAGTAAGTTGCCAGAACATTGCAGGTTCTGAAGAGTTAAAGAAAGCTGTTGACTCTCGTCACTGCTTTTTTCTTGTTGACTTTCACAGTGAACTGACACGGAAAACGATCCGTTGTGCTAGAGCAGGAGTCGGCAACTGGATGCAGCCCACAAAGACCGTTTTACCAGCCCACAAGCCGCCCCTGAACTAAGCCAGCCTCTCAGCAGGTCCCCTGCATGCTGCCGCGCAGGGACTCCTGAGTGGTGCCGGAAATCACATCTGTGAACGCGCAGATACCGGAAACCACGTCTGCGCATGTCCAGACATTGAAAATCACCTCTGCGCAGGTGTGATTTTCGGCGTCTGGGCAGGGGCAGAAGCGATTCCGGAGCTGCGGACATGTGCAGACACGATTTCTGGCATCACGCTGCACCAGTCCAGCCCACGGACGATCTCCGTGGGAGTGATCCGGCCCATGGCCGGAAAACCTTGCCGACCCCTGTGCTAGAGGGGCATTTGGATGACATCAGGGTGTCCCAACCGTGTCTGAGGTCCGCTAGTGTGGAGCACCCCAATGTCCCTGCTCCTGCTGTGGGCAGGGGCTACTGCCAGCAGTAGCCTGCAAAAATAAAACACCTCCCAACAGGGGGTTTCGATGAAAAAGGTGGAGCTGGGGCGGCAAGAGATCTTCTGGATCCTGAGCGAGCTCTGCTACCATCATGTGACAGCAACGATCCCAGGCATCTTTGCTGTAGGAGCAGGCATAGCAAAAATACATATTTTCTTCCCTCCCTCTTCACCTTCTGGTCTGGCTGGTGTGAGCAGCAATGTTGTGCATGCAATCATTGGTTGGAGGGAGGTCGCAGCTCAGAGGCAGATGAGGGGGAAAGCTGGAAAATCATGGGAGAGCCAGAACAACACCCAGCTGACACAGTGTCATTAGAAAACATTCCAGACCCTCCATCTCCCAGAACCTGGCGAGCCTTAAAAGTAGGAGAGCAAAGAGCTCAAAGACAGAGGGCAGCCATAGCAGCACTTGTAGAAGTGATGAATGAGGAAGTGGGAGAGATGGGGGTGGGTGGAGATTCACTCGGGACAACCCAATTATCCAAGAGGCTGGGTTCTATAGCCTCTCTTTGTAAAGAACGGGGGGGGGGGGGGAGGACGGTAAGAAACCTTTCCTTGTCTTTATACAGTGGTACCTTGGTTCTCAAACGCCTTGGTTCTCAAACAACTTGGAACCCAAACACTGCAAACCTGGAAGTAAGTGTTCCGGTTTGTGAACTTCTTTCGGAAGTCAAACATGCTCTGTTTTGAGCACCACACTTCCAATTTGAGTGCCACACTTCCGTTTTGAGTGTTACACTGAGATCTCTCTGTTTTTGCTATTTATTTTGTGTTTTTCTTTTTCTGACTGTGTGGAACCCAGTTCAGCTACTGATTGATTGATTGCGTGACTGCAGTACATTGTTTATTGCTTTCATTTTATGGATCAATGGTCTTGTTAGATAGTAAAATTCATTTTAAATTGCTGTTTTGGGGCTTGTTTTTAAAAAATCTGGAACGGATTAATCCACTTTGCATTACTTCCTATGGAAAAGCACGCCTTGGTTTTGGAATGCCTTGGTTTTAGAACGGACTTCCGGAACGAATGAAGTTTGAGAACCAAGGTACCACTGTACTTTCTTGGGCAACCAGCTGGGAGCTGCTGGGAGCATCCTGACAACTCAGTGCAGTGACCTGGGAGCCAGATGTGCTAAAAACAACAACCGAGTGCAATATAGTTTAGCCTACCCACTTCTGCAGTGCTTCTTATCTCTTGGAGACCCCACGGCGTGTGATGCTGGTAGAAGGGATATTGTTCCCTCGTAGTAATGATGAGACAGAAAGGTCTTGAAACCTGGGGGGTGGGTGGAATTAAGAAACGACGATGTCTTATAAATCAACACAAATTATTTCTGTCCGTTCTGCCAATTCTCTTGCAGAACCACACGGAGACACTCGCTCTGCCATCTTCTTATTGATTTTTTTGACATCCCAAGCTTGTTGCTTCCTTCTCCCACCTTTCGGCTCATATGCAGTTGTATATTTAAGCATTAGCCTGGCAACTTTAGGAGGAGATGGCACCGCATGCAGAGGGTGGCAAAGGAAGGGTCTGGCGCCTTCTGTCTCCCATGAGGTGGGAGCCCCTGTGCCCATAAGTGGGCTGCTAACAGACAGACAAACCCCTCTGCCTTTCCTTTGCCAGCACTCAGGAAGCCCGTAAACATTTTTGCAGGCTGGTAACATTCACGGCCTTCTTATAGCAAGGCTGGCTCCGTAACGGTTGTCCTTAGAGAAAAATACTGGCTTTATTGGCAACCTGGTTCTCTGCAGGTTCATACGGAAGGACGGAGAACGAAATACGAAAGGTTACCTGAGAGGTCGTATCTGACGGGTCCCATCCAGCGTTTCCCCTCGCTGTCTTTCAATATATCGCCGTAAAAACCATACCCCAAGAGGGAGACAAAGTATTTCAGTAACGTGTCGTGGTGATGCACTGAAGAGACATCGAGAGGCTGAGTGTCTCCTGTCGACAAGAGACAATTCAGATTATACGGGAGGCTGCAATTGCGTAAGTCTGCAAATCCAGCATTGAGGAAAAGGTAAAGGACCCCTGGACGGTTAAGTCCAGTCAAATTCAACTATGGGGTTGCGGCACTCATCTCGCTTTCAGGCTGAGGGAGCCGGCATTCGTCTGCAGCCCGATTTTCCGGGTCATGTGGCCAGCAGGACTAAACCGCTTCTGGTGCATGGAGCACCGTGACGGAAGCCAGAGTGCATGGAAATGCCCTTTACCTTCCCGCCACTGCGGTACCTATTTATTTACTTGCGCTGGTATGCTTTCGAACTGCTAGGTTGGCAGGAGCTGGGACAGAGCAAAGGGAGTTTACAGGATTCGAACCGCCGACCTTACAATTGGCAAGCCCAAGAGGCTCCGTGGTTTAGATCCACTTCCCCAAATCCAGCACTGAACTGAGAGATGAGGAGAGTATTTGCTGCATGACACTTTGGGTCTGTGAGAGTGGTGGAGAACAACTGCTCAGTGGAACTAATTCGGCCATTTGGGGGCAAACCACACTCAGCCTGCCAATCACCTGTCGCCATATGAACATCAGGCACGGGAAAATTATAGCTAACAGCTATGCCGAAAAAGTTTCTACGCTGACCAACACATTAAGGCAGGACACCCCACAGAATTCAGGTGCCAGAAACAGGGTTAACTAATAATTGTTCATTTTATGAACAATGCTTCTCTGTGACTGTCTGACAGAGCAATATTACATAACACGTATTCACGGCAGCAGTGGAATGGTCTCTGATGTGTACCCAGTCTGGGAGGGGGAAAAAGATAACCGGAAAATACAGAAACACTGTAAAATTGGTGGACGTGCACCTGGAAATGCCACCCAGGGCACAAAATCCGTAGGCGGGGACTTACCCACAATGATATGCAAGGCTGAAGTTACTGGATCATTGATGCCAACCGTTGAATAGCAAACACAGTCCGTTGAACCTGGAAAAGGAATTTCACAGCACGGTGAAGACACATAAAGAAAATAGCCATTCCTTTCCCCTACCCCCAAACCCACAATCATCTCTTGTCCCTATGAACTGGCTCACTTGCTTGAGTTATCTAGAGCTGTGCAATCTTGAAGGGCCACGGTTCTGTGCTCTGTGTGCTTTGTAGGAGTGAGTCAGAGGATGAGAGAGAGGAAGGAACTACCTTAGGGTGGTAAATAGTTTTGCTTAGCTGCCTGTGGTGCTCTGGGCGATCAGACAGGAAGATATTTTGAAGCCTTCTCTTCCTTTTAGGCTATGAGTGAGCACTGTAAGCAGGTGGGAAACTCTTTCTGCAGTCCAGTAACCTTTCTGAGCTTTTCTGCAGAGCATTTTACTCATTTCCAGTCCGGTGATTCTAACTTAATGACAGGGATCTTCGAAACCCGTTGTGTGAATCCAAATCTGTACAATGTACTGTGACTTAGGGCAGATTCCCTTTGGACGTTCTCCTGCAAAAGCCTTGCTTTAAAAAAAAGAAAAGTATTAACTAATTAATAAATTTTACATTCCCCCGCCATCATTCCTCCGAGGAGCTCAAGGTGGTCTGCATGATTTTCCTCCTCCCAAATTATCCGTACAACCACCTTGCAGGCTTTTTAATTGAACTTTGTGATTTTACAGTTGTAACACATTTTTTAGTCTTACTGCATTGCATCTCTTGTATGCTGCTTAGAGATGACTGGGATCAAGTGGTTTACAAATAGTTGAAATAAATAGGTAATCCGGTGAGCTTCGTGGCTGACTGTGGTTTCTGAATTCTGGTCACCTAGATCCTAGGCCAATGCTCTAACCACTACAGTGGCACCTCGGGTTAAGTACTTAATTCGTTTCGGAGGTCTGTTCTTAACCCAAAACTGTTCTTAACCTGAAGCACCACTTTAGCTAATGGGGCTTCCCGCTGCTGCAGCACGATTTCTGTTCTCATCCTGAAGCAAAGTTCTTAATCCAAGGTACTATTTCTGGGTTAGCGGAGTCTGTAACCTGAAGCGTATGTAACCTGAAGCGTATGTAACCCGAGGTACCACTGTACTTCACACCGTCTCTTGATACTTATTTCCGTGAGTCTTGCACGGCAGTACACAGATAAAAACGAATGAAAGAAATACTGAATGCTTAAAATGTGCCGGAACTGGGAGTGACATTCCAGATAAGTCTTGACCAGCACAGAATAGACTGAAAGTATTACTTCCCATGACGATGTTTCTTTTAATGCAGCCTAAGATCGCATTCGCTTTTTTAGCAGATGCATCACACTGCTGGCTCGTGTTCAGTTTCGCAGCCAGTCAAGACCCCTGGATCCTTTTCACACGAGCCGGGCCTCCTCCATCTTTTGTTTCTGCTCAGCTTTGCAATGAAGTGCAATACATCTGTGTACGTTGACGTTCACCTTGTTGGTCTGCCTAGCATTCCAGATTCGAATCTGTTTTCTATAGTGTTCACTATCGGTCTCAGCTTCAAGCCATCCACAAGTCTGCAGCATACTTTCTCTTTAAAGCCCTAAATGGCCTTGGTCCAGTATATCTGAAGGAGCGTCTCCTCTCCCATCATTCTGCCTGGACACTGAGGTCCAGTTCCGAGGGCCTTCTGGCGGTTCCCTCACTGTGAGAGGCCAAGTTACAGGGAACCAGGCAGAGGGCCTTCTCGGTAGTGGCGCCCGCCCTGTGGAACGCCCTCCCAACAGATGTCAAAGCGATAAACAACTACCTGACATTCAGAAGACATCTGAAGGCAGCCCTGTTCAGGGAAGTTTTTAATATGTGATATTTCAGTGTATTTTTTATCTTTGTTGGAAGCCGCCCAGAGTGGCTGGGGAAACCCAGCCAGATGGGCGGGGTACAAATAATAAATTATTATTATTATTATTATTATTATTATTATTATTATTATTATTCTACGTCCGCATCCAGGTCATTTATAAACCTGTTAAATAGCACAGGCCCAAGAACTGAGCCCTGGAATTCCTGAAAACAGATGTATATTTCCCCCGCTTCTCGGACATATACTAAAGAAAGCTGACTGCTCCATTTAGGTGACATGTCAACGTTCGCTAGCGACTATCTGAACTGTCAGACACTTTGGATTTTCCCCTCTTGGGACGGTCAGCTTCCACATGCGAATGTCGACATATGCTGAATATCCAAAATGTGACGAAACAGGATGGAATTGCTTAGGGCATGGTAAGGGCCCTGGGACATCCGAATGCAGAATTTTCTTCCTTTCCATCCAGCAGACAGGAGAGAGATTTCCTTCCCTCGCCTCTCTCGCTAACCATTTTATGCAGTTTGACAGAACGAAGCCGTGGTGTTTGCTTTCTCCTTGATAACTCAGGCAGGAGGGTCAACGCAATGTTAGAGGGAGATTGATCTGTTGTTAAAGAGCTGCGGTGGAAATCCTTTTGTCAAGCTGGTGCTGTTTGTCCAGGGCAGAACAAAAGAATTAGGCTTAGTGCGTGCTTAAGCAAAATTTTGATTTGTCAGGCAGGTGGGTGGAATGAACGCTAAACAAAGGGAAAAGACGGGAACAGTTTGAGCCGCCCTTTACAGAGCAGACCAGTGAATTCATACCAACGAAATCTCTGCAAGTTAATAAACATCAAGGTTATATCAAGCAGACATTTCTGACCCGGGGAGATACATCCACGACATTTTGAGTCCGAAAGCCAAGGTAATATCAAGCAGATATTTCTGACCCGGGGAGATACATTTTGACTCCCACCCAAAAAACCCTGATTCAATTGGGTGGAATTTTTGATTGCGGCACTTCTCTCCGTCTAATAAAAGCTGAAAATCATAATAGGACGTCCAAGCAACAGAAGTGTGTTTTTAAGGCAGAACAGAAGGAAATCAATCCATTGGGGAAAGAGTCATTCTGGAAACGAGACTGAAATTCGGAATGTAACTTAGTGCAAATAGGATAAAATAATGTGAAACTAATAACAGCCTTGTTAGCTTAGAAGCCCTACCTTCTCATCCTGGGTGTATGGGGACTAGGGGAGTTATTCCTTTTTGAGACCCTCCTCACTGGACAGCCGACCAATATAAGGAAGGACACCCCCCCCAAAATGTGGGGAATGGTGGCTGGGAGAGGGCCTTCTCTGCAGCAGCCCCTGAAACTGTGGAAGTCCCTCCTCATAGAGGTACGACTGTAGTGTCTGCTGCATGCCAAAAACACACCTCTGGCCTTTGACGGTGAAGGCTGTTCCACCAGGCCTTTGGTCAGGGCGCAGCCTGACTCCCTCCTCTGGCAATCTGCACAGAATTTTGCTTAACGGTTGCCATCAATTTGATTTTAATTAATTTTTATAATGGAATGTTTTTAGAATGTTGGATTATTTGATTGTTGTTAGCCGCCCTGAGCCCGGCTCCGGCTGGGGAGGGCGGGATATAAATAAATTTATTATTATTATTATTATTATTATTATTATTATTATTATTATTATGGCATTTTGTTTCGTGGGAAAAAACAAATTTTGTTTTGCTGAATTTATATTGTTCTGTGTGCTTTACTTGGGGTGTTTTTTCTCTCATATAATTGTTTTTTATCACTGTATATTATACTACTGCAACCCACCCTGGGTGAAGGGCAGGTGAGGAATGCTATTAAAAAAATTAACTAATTAAATAGTATGACCGTGACAGAAACCCTGCTAGTGAAAAACAGGTTTCTGAGTTTTGTCCTGGCATGTGACAAGCCCTGCTTAAACTGACAATTAATTTACGTGCCAAAGGTACATCGGTTTTCTGGTGAGCTTTTTAAAAAAATAAAAAACAAATAGTAGATTATACACCCTGTGAGTGGCACTATTCAGTTAGATATCCCTTCAGTGAGAGGTTGTAGCAGCTGCCACTATCACAATTTCCTTCCACGGAAAGGCCGATGGCAGTAACTCAAATTGCCGCCTAGCAACAAGGAGTGACGGCAAAGCCAATTCCCTCAGCTTCCTGGGACCAGTGCTCCTCTCCTCTGCCCATAGGTCATCGGGGCTGATGGGAGCTGGACTCCAAAATCTGTGGAGGCCACTGGCTTGGAGAAGGCTGGACTACTGCATTAGTGCACTACAGGGGCTGTCCTTGAAGATGGTTAGGGAACTGCAGTTAGTCCAAAACACAACCGCGAAGCAGTGATCTCTGGGACCAGGCACTGTGATCACAGTACACTTGTGCTCTGCCAACTGTGCTGGCTCCCAGGTCATTTCAAGACTTCAAAAGTTGCTTGGGGGCTTTAAGGCCCTTCATGGTTTGGGATGGGGATGCTGGACTTTTCTCCTCGCACACCTGCCCATGCAGTAAGACTTACAACAGAGGTCCTTCACTGGGTGTCTAAGGTGTGGCAGGTGTCTGTGCCACAAGTGAAGACCTTTTAAAAATAAAGGAGAATAATAAATCCTGGCTTTTAGACTCTATGTCATGGGTAGGCAAACTAAGGCCTGGGACCCGGATCCGGCCCCATCGCTTTCTAAATCCGGTATGCGGACAGTCCGGGAATCAGTGTGTATTTTACATGAATAGAATGTTTCCTTTTACTTAAAATGCATCTCTGGGTTATTTGTGGGGCCTGCCTGGTGTTTTTACATGAGTAGAATGTGTGCTTTTATTTAAAATGCATCTCTGGGTTATTTGTGGGGCATAGGAATTCGTTCATTTTTTTTCTTTTCAAAATATAGTCCGGCTCCCCACAAGGTCTGAGGGGCAGTGGACCGGTCCCCTGCTGAAAAGGTTTGCTGAGCCCTGCTCTATGTTAAAGTTGCCTTTCTAAATCCTGACATGTCCATAGCTCTTGAAATAGAATTCGCTAGAAACACACATTCAGGGAAACCTGAAAGGCTTGCCTTTGCATATAAATAAAAGGACTAGGGTTTGTTCCAGTGAGAATAGACAGTCCTGGAAAACACATGTCAAGGGTACTAACAGCCCACAAAGAACAAACAATGAGACAATGTTAAATCTTCACAAAAGACAAAACGATCTAAATCTAAAATGTAGCCCAAACGTTATAAATCTACTAAAGCAATGTAGAATAAATGAAGGGTGGTAATCCTGCGCTCTCCTATTTATTATAAGCTCCCTAAACTATGGAGGGACAGCGATGGAAAACTGGGATGCTGTTCCTGAACATAGGATTCCAGGTTCCTTTAAATAAGGTCCTTCTGGGGTAAAACTGGCTGGCCCAAGAGAAAGGGGAAGAGTGCTGGTGATAATTGGGTGGCAACACGAGAACGGGGCCTTCTCTGCAGTGGCTCCCCGTTTGTGGAATGCTCTCCCCAGGAAAGTTCGCCTGGCGCCTTCATTATACACCTCTCGGCACCAGGCAAAAACGTTCCTTTTTAACCAGGCCTTTGGGTTGATCTGATTTACATCTTATGCCCTTAAATATATATATATATATATATATATATATATATATATATATATATATATATAATTTTTTTTGGTGGGGGCTATTGGGTTGTTATTTTTATTTTAATTACGTATTTTGTGGTTGTTGTTTTTATTTTTATTCTGTGAACTGCCCTGAGACCCCCGTGTATAGGGCAGTATATAAATTTTAATAATAATAATAATAATAATGATGATGATAATAATAATAATAATAATAATAGAAGGCTCAATTATCTCACATACTCTGTCTCCTTGAAATCTTAATATGCCATAACAGTTAGGGCTGATCGCACACCCAGCCATGTAGAATGATCACACGGAAGAGAAACAAGACGGATGATATCTGCATGCTCCAGTCTCTGACCTCTATGTATCCATCCATTATCTGTGGGCTTGGCTAAATGCACAGAGGTTGGGGTGATGGAGGTCTGGCAACAGGTTGTGATCCTGTTGGTTCCCTTCACGTGCTCCTTTTTACACAGATACAGACAACCCCGAAATACCAGTGAAGGAAGGGGTTTCCCAAACCCAAAACTGACTGTGCAGGCAGTTTTAAACCGCACCAAAATCCCTATTTTTCCTTAGCTAAAATGCATAAACTTGAGCCGTTGAGCAAATGCATAACAAGAACACAGCTCTCTCCTTTATCAGTTTGTGGCGTCAAGGATGACCCTGACTGTACCAGTAAGAACAGAGAAAACACGTCTGTGCCTTAGCTTATGTTCTGACCACAAAGACACACAGACCCAAGTCTGGGAACAACGCCAGAGTGTGTTCTCGGAAATGGTGACCTCTGGCTCCAAGATAAGAGTAGGGACAGGAATATCCTTTTATGGTCAGGAGTGCAGGAAGGAAATCCCTTTTATGGTTAAGAGTGCTGGAGCAGGAACATCTGTGATGTCAACCTGCGTGGATAGGCTGACGTGGTTGGATTCCTGGGGAAGGGGGAGAGGGTGCCTGGAGGATATATATACACTGCATGAAACTTCTCATCTCTTTGGACTTGCTGTGGACACACCACGCAGGTGCCTTTCTGCTGTTCCGGAGAGCAGAAATAAAGAACTCTTTCTCTGAACCAACCCTCGGTGTCATTTGACTTCCTTCCTCCTGTCCGGGAGCAACGGAAACCCAATCGGTGAACTCCAATAAGGCTACACCAACAGCCAATTTGCGCCCATGTTGTGATTCTAGGCTAGGTTCCTTGCCGCACAACCTGGAGGCTGATGAAACATGTAATAAATCATAACCGCAATATAATGACGTATGGCGAAAGTGAGCCGTTTTGCAATTCTTACCAGCCGGGATTATGCCAATCCTGATATTGCATTGGACTAATGGTGCTTTGGGGTTATTTTGATCTATGCCAGAATCCTTCTGCGTCCTTCCAATCAAACCATGCATCACTTCATTGAACATGCCGTCCCCACCAACACAAACAACACTGCCGGAAAATACACAAATTAAAATGCACACTCACAGCAAACAAAGGAATCAACAAAGATGTCAAACGCTCCCGACACAATAGATATGGTTTGCTTTATCAAGGAAGAAACAAAAAGAAATAAAAGAAAAACCTCCCTTATCAAGTTCTTCAGGCTGGTTTACTGTGTGTCTTGAATTAATCCATTCAAAATGTAATTTCAGATCACAGAACAGTTGTAAACCTGTTTTGCAGGGGGAGGGGGCAGAGTTGGGGCTAATTGTAAAATAATTCTCCCCTAGTTTCTGCTGTTCCTTTGTGAGTACTCACAGACATCAGTTGAAAACAAAACAGTAAACACAAGGCAGACATCAACATGGAATACTGTTCCTCTTCCAATTTATAGATATTTCACCTAATGAGTTACCATTCATAATCTCTACATATGCCACTCCTTCTTATCATCTTACAGTTGGGCTGCTGTTCTGAAGATTTTACCATGGACAGCAAGAGTTCGTGAGCGACTGAATGGTCCTTTCAGTGATCCCCCAGGTGTACAAATGGCTGGGAGATCATATAAATGACCCAGCCACATTGGCAGTGACTAATCCTGCAGATATTTCCAATCAAATTCCTCACCAGTTGGTACTGCAAGATACAGCGGTACCTTGGTTCTCAAACACCTTGGTTCTCAAACGCCTTGGTTCCCAAACGCCCAAAACCCAAAAGTAAGTGTTCTGGTTTTCTAACGATTTTCAGAAGCCAAAAGTCCGATGCAGATGTTGGCCATTGTTTCCGGGGCGCCTGTACCAATCAGAAGCTGTGCCGTGGTTTTTGAATATTTCAGAAGTCAAACGGACTTCCAGAATGAAGTTTGGCGCTTCTGTTTTTGTCATTTATTTTGCGTTTTTGTTTTTGAGGCTTTTTCGGTTAATTTGTTTTTGTGACTGTGTGGAACCCAGTTCAGCTACTGGGTTCAGCTATTGATTGTGTGACTGCAGAAATGGATAAAAGCCCCCCATCCAAACAATGACTATCATCAGTGCAGGTAAGAATTATTTTGTTTTAATCATCTACAATACTGTCTTATTTATGTTATAGTACAGTACATTGATTATTGCTTTCATTTTATGGATCAGTGGTCTCGTTAGATAGCAAAATTCATGTTAAATTGCTGTTTTAGAGGTTGTTTTTAAAAGTCTGGAACGAATTAATCTGTTCTGCATTACTTTCTATGGGATAGCGCACCTTGGTTTTAGAATGCTTTGGTTATGGAACGGACTTCTGGAATGGATGAAGTTTGAGAACCAAGGGACCACTGTACCGGCTTTCTGCAATGGGGGAAGTCTTCATTTGGGAAAGTTTTCAAGGAATGCTGTGCTGCCCGGTTGATCCCCGTTCAGGTGATGTTTAAATGCACAGCAGAAACGAGCGTTAATTTGTTAGAGGCGGCTGAATTCTCCTACAGTTCAACAGCTGGCTGTGATATGTCGCAGAGACAGACAGAAAGCTCTACATGTCACATTTGGATAACAGCAAAGCCATCATCTCATCTAGCTCTGCATTTCCTGCCTCATCATCTGCTGTGAGATAACTGCCTATATTTGAAAAGATGAATTGAAACACATTTTCCTCCCTACCAAAACTGCATTATCGTGAGCATCCGCTGCTCAAAGTTAACACCTCCTATCCAAAGCTCCCTCTTTCGTTAGTGAGTCCAAAGGGACAAAGACAGCAAGTGGAAATGATGCGGGATTGGTATAGAACGCTGGTAATTTGTCTGCTTGTAACCGCCGGCCGATCTGTCTATAACAACTAGAGCGTCCATATATTCCGAGCCTCAGGAATGATCCAGGACGCCTGTCCCGTCCTACAACCATTTCCATGCCTGGCATAATTGGAATCTCAATACTATTTGACTCGGCGTTGTAGTAATTAGGGGAGGATTAATGCACGAGGAATTGTGACTTGGTGAGAAGGCCTTGAATTAGCAGGGCGCACGGCGGTTTAATTAATCTCCGTCTTAGCGGGCATGGCAGAAGCAGCGAATTAGCATTCCTATACCAGGTGCCCACGATCCTGAGCTCTGTGTGTGTGTTGCAGGATTCGGGGGGGAGGGAAAGAGAGCTGGGAATGCAGGCAACGCTTTTCCATCGCCAGCGACAGACAAGCCCTGCTCTATGCATGGACCAGTTCTCTTGGATTATATAGCCTGCATGCGCAGAAATAGAAGGGTAATTAGCTTGCTTGGGGATATCTCCCCACCGCCCAACCCATCTTCCTCCCAAAGGGCGATTAGAATTGGCTAAACTTTCTGAGAATACACCGGTGAGGATTATAAACATGCACAATGATAAATAAATGTGCCACGCCGTCGATAAGAGGGCATCATTAGGCATTACAAAGCGTTCCTGGAAGATTTATGGGCCGAGTGGAACTTCTGTTTCACTGGGCATGAATTAAGGCATCGCCGTTTCTCATGCATCTCCTAAATTATCAGAAAGCAAAGGCAACGAGCATTTGAGCAGCACGCTCTGCAATCTGGAAAACTAGCTGCTAGAGGACCATGAAAATTTGGGTCCCGGGCTTTTGGGACTCGTCTACCCACATGTTATCTGAAACCAAAGCGTCGCATTGGTCGCCAAATGTGAAATACCGTATTTTTTGCTCTATAAGACTCACTTTTTCCCTCCTAAAAAGTAAGGGGAAATGAGTGTGTGTCTTATGGAGCGAATGCAGGCTATCCCAGAAGCCAGAACAGCAAGAAGGATTGCTGCTTTCTCTGTGCAGCGATCCCTCTTGCTGTTCTGGCTTCTGGGATTCAGAATATTTTTTTTCTTGTTTTCCTCCTCCAAAAACTAGGTGCGTCTTGTGGTCTGGTGCGTCTTATAGAGCGAAAAATGCAGTATATTGGCATTATTTTCAGCTCTCCTACGCCACTAGAGAAAATGCAAGATGTGCCAAAGCCCACTCGGCAGTACGATGCCCCGATGGTTTCAAAACATCACAGGGACATCTCCGTCCCCTAAGACTACAATACTAAGCAGGCTCTCTTGGGGGTTCGTTTATGAATCGATAGGGACTGCGGCCTCAGCAGGTGCCTAGGAATAAGGTCAGAAAGAGAGGCGCTAAACTGGGTGGCTGAAGCAAGCTCCTCGCAGCAATCTGCACACTAAAGGGGATTCCCAAATTATTGGGCAGTCATTCCACTTGTCTATTAAGCAGGGCACGTGCAGACTGTGTACGTTACCTAAAAAAAACCAGATTAATATAAGAGAGAAAGAGAGAACTTACCCATCGTATTTCTCTAGATTAACTTCAAGTAAGTTATCCCTAGCATGATTAGCGCGTTCAGTGACTGAGGGGAGAAGAAAAGGAACAAACAGCTTTAGGACATAATATTAAAAGGAAAATCATATGTGCACATAAATGGCTAAGGAAGGGAGAAAACTACTGGTTTATGACCATTTTGGTTCCTGACACTTATTGCTGTTGCAGCTGCCTGAGAGAGGAAGCAGCCTGGGCTACTGTAAGGCGCCAGGATTGTGATAAACCTTATCATATTTTACCAAGCTGCAGCTCCACCCATTATTACGTAGGGTGTCATCCAGCACTAGCCAATCTATTTTACATACTGTAACTCTGCTGCCGTTTTTTATTGATTTCAATTTGGTAATCATTCGCTGCAATTGCTGAGTGTGAATTCCTGTTATAATAACCTGCTGTTATTTTGAGAGTTCATCTTGCAGCGCATTATTATATTCTTATGGGTTATTTATTGCTTTATTCAATACAAGTTCATTTAAAATGCAGGGGTTTTTCGTGATCAGGTTGCGTGATCTTCGTTGCATGTTCTGTTGTTTCTTCTGCCTGCAAACCACCTTGTGTATAGCAATATAGGAAGCCGTTATGGAATGCAGGTATGGCTCATTCATGAAACAGGGCAGGGCTGCAGTAGACTCGCCTCCATGGGCAAACTGCAACCACAACGTACACTGCCACAATTGTGGCACGCCAGATGCTAGGCTTATGAACCCAGATGACCAGGAAAAGGGAAGCCTGTGGTGGACTCCCATCAGCCCCAGCCAGCGTTCCCAATGATTCAAGGATGATGGGAAACATCAACCCATAGCTGTCAACTTACAGATTTGAAAATAAGGGACCAGCAGCCTCAAAAATAAGGGATCAGCAGCCAAAATAAGGGATTTTCCGGGCACAGGTATGTTCACCTTCTGAGCCCCTCCGAGCCAAAGGCAGAAAGCCCAGCCAGCAGCCAAACGAAGCCTGAAGCCTCAAGGAAAACCACGTCACCTCTCCGCTGGGAAGCGCTGAGCAAAGGCGAGTCCCCAGGCAACACAGCCAATTTGATCAGCACAAGGCATGCAAGCTCCACCCCCCAGTCGTTCTTAGACTCCTTATTGGGTGAGCAATGCAGCCAAGCAACACAGTTGGAGCTTCCCACCTCCCTGGGAGGGAGAGGAGCTGCTTCCTTTGAAACCCGGGAAATTTAAGGGACGTCATCAATAAGGGACAGCAGCAGGACATGGCGCTGGGATAAGGGACTGTCCCGCCAAATAAGGGGCGCTTGACAGCTATGAGACAACCTTTGGAGAGCCACAGCTTCTTCACTTCCTGCTTGTATGATAGCATACCCCGCAACATATCTAGGATGAAAATAGGGACGTCTTATTCCATAATGATACCGTATTGACCCGAATATAAGCTGCACTCTCAAATAAGCTGCAAAATTCAAGGGCTGCTCAGGGGAGGCTTGGGAGTGGGGGCCGGGCTGGGCAACTTTGCCCCACACTTCCGGTCTGCTTCCTGGGTGGGGGGTGGGGGTGTTGCTCTCGTAAGGCCGTGACTATAAGCCACACTTTAACTTTTCACAGTTGGGATTTGGGGAAAAATAGTACAGCTTATATTCAGCCCAGTACGGCAATTTTGATATTTATACCCCGCACATCTTTCTGGGCAGTTTCCAACATGTATATAAAAACATCATAAAGCATTAAACATTTTTTTTTAAAAAAAACCCTTCCCGATACAGGATTGCCTTCAGACGGCTTGGGGCTCGGATAACTCCATACCCTCCAACATTTCTCCAATGAAAACAGGGACTTCCTAAGGAAAAGTGGGACATTCCGGGATCAGATCAGAAACCGAGATGGCTTCTCTAAACCAGGGACGTCCCTGGAAAATGGGGACACTTGGAGGGTCTGTGATAGAGCCTGGCCTGTAGAAATTTCACCAAATTTCTGCCAGCCCCGGGGCCTCAAACACTGTTTGCTATTCCCAACTAGCAAATGCTTCCCTTTGGAGCAACCACCCAAGTTTCCTATGGAAAAAATGGACCGTTATTCCAGCAAAAGAAGGAAGCGCATGATAGCTGGATAAGAAAAGGGGTAAGAAGCTTTTGGTCATCAGCCTCCTTAAAAGGAAAGCAACAATCCTGTGATCTATATTCAGCGTGGATTTGGAAAATATCTACACCAGTGCCAAATCTGAGGTGAACCCTGTACAAACAACATGGCTGCAAAATGCTTGGTGTTTTCACAGCACCTTTCTAAAAATACACACACATAGTAAATTGCCAGAAAGCCTTCCAGCAACATGCACAAAGGTCTGTCCCAATCTCTTGGGAGTCTTTCTCAGCCTAGCAATGGCAATCTGAACTCGAGCAAGGCTGTGTACATTTAGGAAAGAGGGAGAGGCTCAGGTGCCACTGTGCAGTGCTTGTTCTCTTGTTGACAACCAAAAAAGGACACGCAAATGTTTTCTGGTGGAGTTTTCTTTTTGTGCTATGCATGCTTATTTGTTTGTTTGATGACCGAGAAAGCGCTCTGCATCCAGAGAATTAAATGAGCACTGTGTAGCTTCCAGGGAGCTGCAAAACCTTGCAGGTGTTTCTCAGCAAACGGGCATTTTGCACTACGAAGCACTCGGGGTTGACCTGAGATCCAATCACAGAGGCTGGATGCGGAAATGCAGCTGGGATGTGCAATCTGCACCATGGTTTGTGCAATCAGAACCAGTGAAAGCAGTGAAGGTCCTGTGTGAGTGTTGGGAGGCGGTTGGAGGATGGATGGCGGCTAATGGATTGAGGTTGAATCCTGACAAGACAGAAGTACTCTTTTTGGGGGACAGGAGGTGGGCTGGTGTGGAGGATTCCCTGGTCCTGAATGGGGTAACTGTGTCCCTGAAGGACCAGATGCTCAGCCTGGGAGTCATTTTGGACTCACAGCTGTCCATGGAGGCACAAGTCAATTCTGTGTCCAGGGCAGCTGTTTACCAGCTCCATCTGGTACGTAGGCTGAGACCCTATCTGCCTGCAGACTGCCTCGCCAGAGTGGTGCATGCTCTGGTTATCTCCCGCTTGGAATACTGCAATACACTCTACGTGGGGCTACCTTTGAAGGTGACCCGGAAACTACAACTAATCCAGAATGCGGCAGCTAGACTGGTGACTGGGGGCGGCCGCTGAGACCATATAACACCGGTCTTGAAAGACATACATTGGCTCCCAGTACGTTTCCGAGCACAATTCAAAGTGTTGGTGCTGACCTTTAGAGCCCTAAACGGCCTCAGTCCAGTATACCTGAAGGAGCATCTCCACCCCCATTGTTCTGCCCGGACACTGAGATCCAGCGCCGAGGGCCTTCTGGCGGTTCCCTCACTGCGAGAAGCCAAGTTACAGGGACCAGGCAGAGGGCCTTCTCAGTAGTGGCGCCCTCCCTGTGGAACGTCCTCCCACCAGATGTCAAAGAGAACAATAACTACCAGACTTTTAGAAGACATCTGAAGGCAGCCCTGTTTAGGGAAGCTTTTAATGTTTGATGTATTACAGTATTTTAATATTTTTTTGGAAGCCGCCCAGAGTGGCTGGGGAAGCCCAGCCAGATGGGCGGGGTATAAATAAAATATTATTATTATTATTATTATTATTATTATTATTATTATTATTATTGGGTTGTGTTGCGGCACAACTTTCCTTACCGGAATAAAAAAAAACCCTTGTGTAGGTTCAGTGGCAAACCTTTGTTGCGTAACAGCATTGACATGGAATTAAGTTAAAGGCAGTCCTTTCTAAAACATGCACGAGATGAAGGAATGCATTTTATAACAGACCATTTTTACATCACTCACCTATAACATCTGTTGAAATGGAGGCTAGGCTAAACAATGGAGCTACCTTTTGTTCATAGATCTTCTCTCCTTGTTTTTTCCCACCGTACGGATTAATATATACAAGCAAGTGCTTTGGTCTAGAGGCTGTCAAAGTGAAAAAGGGTATGCCAGTTAAAACTAAATAGTTTTTAGGATTATTCGCTCCTCAATTCTTTCATGCGCATCAGCGGGTTGTTTTGTTGTTGTTGTTTTTACAAAGCAATTTAGAGGGCCAAGTTCATTGGAAATAATGATTCAAATGTAATAAACGCTGTCATGACTGAACCGAGTACCAAAAGATTATCACAAGTTTTCAGTCAATTTTCTTTGCATTTTAAGCCCTATTCCAGCATTCTTTTCCTTTTTCAGTTTTTAAAAAATATGTTCAAGTAATAGGCCAGAAAATGGATAAGGGTGCATGATTCTTTTGGTGATATGTATAGTTAACTGAACTATAATAACTTTGGATAATTTTATCCCATTTTCCCCCAATAAATTCAAGGCAGCCAGGCTACTTCTTCTCCCCCCTCCCCCCTTTTTTTATTTATTTAATGCTTTATTAACCGTGGTTACATCCATACATCAAAGACATTTCATAGTCTGTAAATCAAACTCATCAAGATAAAAATTCCATCCAAGAGGTACAAGATATATCTTCATAAATTTGACTACCCGTCCTTCTCAACATCTTTTCACTCTAGTAAACCTGTTGCCTAAATTTATCAGCAAAATCATAATAAAATATTAATATGCATCTGTGTGTATTATATATCTGTTTTAACCCATTTAACCTTTATTTACAGCTTATTCAAAAGCTGCTACCGAATTCAGATTGCAAACTCTTATTTTTTAAGTAGGCAAATGAGGGTTCCTAATGACTCTCGACACCTGTAACAAACCCCTTGCCCCGTTTTTCGTTTGCTGTACTCTAGGATTTTGATCTCTATCCAAGGCAGCGGAGGCAACAAGTTGCGCATCGAGAACTTACTCTGGCAAATCAAGTAATTCTCTGAGCGCATGCATCCACTGATTACACAGTTGCTCATTAATGCACCAGAAGGTCACGTCTTTGCACCGCCAGCGGTGATTATGTACTCTCTTCACATAGTGCACTGCAAACAAACAAAAAGGGTCATGTACACAGGAGGCAGAATTCCGTCTGAAGAGTCCTTTAAACGCGGGGCGAAATTAACTCCAGAAAACATAATGGAACTTAGTATTTATACAGAGGCTGGTAGGGTTCAAAGAACTCCGCGTGCATTATCTCATTAAAACGTACAACAATCCAATAAGATAGACCAGCACTGCTAACTGTACTGCAGCTGGGAATTTGAGGCAGAAGAAAAAATAAGTCGTATCCAGAAGTGGGCGTGGGCCTAATTTGACTAGCTCCACCCCCAGTGTCACATGTCCCAAGTAGCCCTGCCCCATGTGATCTGGAACCCAGAGCAAGGACTCCCTCTCTGCAGACATTCACACTGTATACACGGAGACTTGGGGGTGGGGCTATTTGTTACGGCCCCACCCACTTATTAGACCAACGCATGAAATATAATTCTGAATGGGACGAGAGAGACCACCAAGTCAGTTATACGGCATAGATGAGATTTGACTTCCTAATTAACGTTCCTGTCTTTCAGTTGGTATGTGACAGTAGCTGCAAGGTATGGACACCAAAAATGGGGAAGACATTCCAAATTAAACTGTAATTTTATATAGCTTGCTGAAGGTCTTTCGGAAACAGCCTCCGACTTTCCAGATTTGGGGAAAAAACACTGGAAAGTCTACTTTCAGGTGTCAGCTATCACTGCAAAGCGTGGAACGCCCCAAACTCAGCCCTCCAGATGTTTTGGGACTACAGTTCCCATCATCCCTGACCACTGGTCCTGTTAGCTAGGGATGATGGGAGTTGTAGTCCCAAAACATCTGGAGGGCCGAGTTTGGGGATGCCTGTCCTATGCAAACAAAGTTATATGTAAAGATTCATTTCAAGGTACCCAGAATGTCTCATATTCCAACACTGTAAAAGGAAAATCCTCTATTTATTCAAAAGGTATTAAAAGGAATTAGAAACAAATCGAGCGCTTGCCCTTTCACCTCAGACAGGCAGGGCTTCTAATTTTTTTAAGGTTTATATTTTGAAGTCAAGTAGGTCTTCCTTTGGTGGAAAAAAAAAGAAGAATCTGTTGTGAGGAAAACCACCTGTCAGAATGTTAATAATTACCATTTTATTAAAGTGCAGATACAAGGCAGAAAACCCTGACCATTTAATGGATTCAATAGGGGCAAGATTTAGCAGGACTTTAGGTTAAAAACAAACAAACACTTGGGGCATTTAAGCGATCAATAAACCCTTGGTTAAGTTTATAGCCATGCCATCAATTTAAAAAAACTCTTAGATATTATATGTACATAAAATATGGAGCACATGTGAAAACATGCATCCTGTCGCTATTTTAAAGCACTTAATAATGCCCTATAATTTGAAGGTTGTGTGTGGTGAAAATTCACACACACTAAGCCCAGGCATATACCCTAGTGAAGGCTTCCTCAACCTTGGGCCTCCAGATGTTTTGATACTACAGTTCCCATCATTCCTGGCCACTGGTCCTGCTAGCTAGGGATCATGGGAGTTGTAGGCCAAAAACATCTGGAGGCCCAAGGTTGAGGAAGCCTGCCCTAGTGGGTCAAAAGACAAATTCAAAACCATTTATTGCTTGCTTTCCCTTAATATGCTCCCCAAAGGTCCGTTTTCTGCAAGATAGGCAGAGGGGTATGGTAGTTAATGATGCTATTGTGTTCTGCAGTGGAAATCAGAGTAGTTTTGCGGCAATTTCTCCACTCAGAATTGAGGGTTGGTGAGGGTGGAATACAGATTATGTTATGCCGAGCGGTAACTTACTCCAAACGATTTCTTGGCGAAAAATCCAAGAAAGGAGATGAGTGGTAAGATTTCTCTCACCGCTTGGAAGGATATTGCAAACATTTAGCAAACAGGTGTTTTTAAAAAACGGTGCCTGCCGTTGTGTTTTACCTGTGAATGCATGCGGCTTTGCCATTTTCTGCCATTTCCCACTATTACATTGTTTCTTATCGATTTCTGTTTCCTCGACAGCAATAATCTCAGATATGGGCACGGCGCAGCTCTCTGCGAAAAAGAGATAGAGCAGTGTTGTGAGGAAGATCTACACAGTATCAGAGTGCTTTGGCTTCTGCTTCTAGAAGAAAATGCGAAAAATTAAGAGATACGATTTGACATGCAGGTATAAAGGCCGGACCAAAATGCAGTACAGTGGTACCTCAGGTTAAGTACTTAATCCGTTCCAGAGGTCTGTTCTTAACCTGAAACTGTTCTTTAATATTTTTTTGGAAGCCGCCCAGAGTGGCTGGGGAAACCCAGCCAGATGGGCAGAGTATAAATAATAAAATCATTATCATCATCATCATCATCATCATCATCATCATTATTATTATTAACCTGAAGCACCAATTTAGCTAATGGGGCCTCCGGCTGCCACCGCGCCACCAGAGCACAATTTCTGTTCTCATCCTGAAGCAAAGTTCTTAACCTGAAGCACTATTTCTGGGTTAGCGGAGTATGTAACCTGAAGCGTATGTAACCCGAGGTACCACTGTAATGTCATGCATCTGACTGTGCAAGTCCTCTAAGGCAGAAAGCAGGTCTTTCCCTTTATACAGATGTTTCCCTTCAAGCCAGATGAGGGAAAACCCTTTGCTTCCAAAATATTGTTACAAAGGTTGGGTGCCATCCCCAATCTGTGCCAAGATTCCAGCCACTCTGTGCTCCTTTGAGTAGCAAGACATGGCAGAGACTGTCACAGCTTTAAGAAATATGATTTGTTCACATATTTACGCCAGGGAGGGAGGGAGCCCAGAACTTGCAACACAGTCAATTCAAGAGGGGATTGTTTCCCACCGCAGTGCAGCACTGGAGCTCAAGCCATCTCTGCCAGCCTGCCAAAGTCTTTTTTTCTCTCCCTTTTTCTTCCAGCACACATTTCCTGTCACCTCTCTTATAAATCCCATCACCTTGGCAACCTCTGTTTGCCCAGGACCAAGGATTCCTTTCTGTCATGTTAACACCTCTATCCCAGGTGAGGCCCTGGCTTGGAAAGGAAGCTCAGCCTGTATTTCTCCACTGGCTTCCGGTTGCCATATTTCAAAAAGTGAAAATCCGGACACAAAAGTGCCTGGGCTGCCCTGCGTCCAGATTTTCCCAGACATTTCGGCGATTTCCACCCAGACCCTGTTCACGAAGGCTGAATACCGGCTGTGTCTGGGAAATTCCAGGTGCATGGCAACCCTATCAAATATTAACTCGATTCTGACGTTCATTCATTGACTGGGTTTAGGGCAGGAGTCAGAAAACTTTTTCAGCAGGGGGCTGGTACACTGTCCCTCAAACTTTGTGGGGTGCCAGACTATATTTGGGGGGTGGGGGGAAATGAACGGATTCCTATGCCCCACAAATAACCCAGAGATGCATTTTAAATAAAAGGACACATTCTACTCATGTAAAAACAACAGGCAGGCCCCACAAATAACCCAGAGATGCATTTTATATAAAATGACACATTCTACTCATGTAAAAACAAGCTGATTCCGGGACTGTCCGCAGGCCGGATTTAGAAGACGATTGGGCCGCATCTGGCCCCCGGGCCTTAGTTTGCCTACCCATAATTTAGAGGGGTCTTCCCTCCCCACCCATCAAATTCAAAACAATATGTTTAATCGCTTCCAAGGAACCCGGTGCAATTCTGCCTTCGATGCAAAGCACATATCAACAATAAATACTATATTTCCAAAAACGTGTTAGTCACATACTGCAATCCTGCTAACTGAAGCAACGTGTAAAGGTAACACGTGATAAAACGAGCATCACCAATCACAAAAACTGGAACAGCAATCCAAAGTAAGAATTTGTAGTGCCTGAGGATGATCTCATAACGTATCTTTGGCAGGGCCACTAGCTGGAGAGCAAGTTGACTCCAAAATCTACGTAACCCGCTCTGAGAAATGTCAGGGGTTGGTGGGACAGACACACACATACAAATGATGAGGATGATGGCCCATAAATTATTTGCCTCAGCTATTCGTTATCGTAATTATTATTCTATACTTATGTCATGCCTAGGGCCAGCTCCTGGTTTACATACACCGCTGAGGGCCTTCTGGCAGTTCCCTCACTGCGAGAAGCGAAGTTACAGGGAACCAGGCAGAAGGCCTTCTCGGTGGTGGCACCCGCCCTGTGGAACGCCCTCCCATCAGACGTCAAGGAGATAAACAACTATCTTACATTTAGAAGACATCTGAGGGCATCCCTGTTTAGGGAAGTTTTTAATGTTTGAAGTTTTATCATGTTTTTAATCTTTTGTTGGAAGCCGCCCAGAGCGGCTGGGGAAGCCCAGCCAGACGGGCAGGGAATAAACAAACAAACAAACAAACAAATAAACAAAATTCATTTATTGGGGACAACACCCACAAAAGGATTTACAGTGGTACCTCGGGTTAAGTACTTAATTCATTCCGGAGGTCTCGTTCTTAACCTGAAACTGTTTTTAACCTGAAGCACCACTTTAGCTAATGGGGTCTCCCTCTGCCGCCGCGCCACCGGAGCCCGATTTCTCTTCTCATCCTGAAGCAAAGTTCTTAACCCGAGGGACTATTTCTAGGTTAGCGGAGTCTGTAACCTGAAGCGTATGTAACCTGAGGTACCACTGTACTATAATCTCTACATTTCTAAATGAACCTAAAGGTAAAGGTAAAGGGACCTCTGACCATTAGGTCCAGTCATGGCCAACTCTGGGGTTGCGGCGCTCATCTCGCTTTATTGGGCGAGGGAGCCAGCGTACAGCTTCCGGGTCATGTGGCCAGCATGACTAAGCCGCTTCTGGCGAACCAGAGAAGCACACGGAAACGCTGTTTACCTTCCTGCCGGAGCAGTGCCTATTTATCTACTTGCACTTTGACGTGCTTTCGAACTGCTAGGTTGGCAGGAGCAGGGACCGAGCAATGGGAGCTCACCCTGTTGCGGGGATTCATACTGCCAACCTTCAGATCGGCAACCCCAAGCAGCACAGTGGTTTAACCCACAGCACCACCCACGTCCCGCAAATGAACCTGGCGCCTAGCTAACTCTGAACACTGTGTGGGGGTCAGTGGCATAGCGTGAGGGGTGCAGGGGGGGCGGCTGCACCGGGCGCAACATCTGGGGGGGGCGCTCGCCGCCTCCGGAGTCGCTGAAGAGCCTCGGGCGCAGGCTGTAGCAGAGCCCCGTCTCGCGGAACCGATGAGCTGGCAGCGGCTCTCAGCGCTCGCCGCGGTCCCCGCGCGTCAGGGCCACGGAGGGCGCACCAGGCAGCCCCTCCACGCAGCCCCGCCGCCGCCGCTGCAGCTGCTGGGCCATGTTGCATTTTCCTCGCCTCTCTGCCCTCCTCCGGGCGAGCGGCGTCGTTTGGGCGGCAGCGCCAGCGGCAACTCGCCTCAGATCACCTGACACGGACCCCCCGCCGCCGCCGTGGCTACCTTACCGTAAATACCCCAGCCCAGGCAGCAGCAAGAAGAAGCTGGCAGCGGCAGCAGGTTAGGGGTTAGGGGGCACAAATTACTTGCCTTGCCCCGGGTGCTGACAACCCACGCTACACCGCTGCTGGGGGTGGAGGAAACTGTGGCCCTCCAGATGTGGTTGGACTGTTAACAACCTGGCCATTGGCTATGCAGACAATGGCTGGTGGGAGATGGAGTCCTAACAACATCTGGAAGACCAGAGATTCCTCACCCCTGTTGGACAGGGGTTGGGGGAAACTACAGACACTGATGTTTTTGGCAAGCCTGGTACTATTTAAGGGGCTGGTGATGCAATGCCGTTCAAGCTTACGTAAGCGTAAATCTCCCTATTACAAAAGGCCTTCATTCTTGACTTGACCTATTTCCCCCCCTTCACCTTTTTATTATTGACTGACTTCATAGGGCTGTGTTGTGTTGCAGGGCTTCCTGTTATGTAAGAGCTCAGTCTCACCAGACAGCTCATCAACTGATACTTCCCTTATGTATTAATCTTCCTCAGGTAAACAATGCTTATTTTGGCAGGAGATCAAAGCATGCAGCAGTCCACTTTATTATTGCAGAGGACTTTTTCTCTCATTCCCAAAGCCTCGCACTGTCTCGCTTGCGGGTTCCTCGGTTGTCTTTCAATGTATTTTTGGTTGCAAAAGGAGAGCTTCCTGTTTCCTGCAATGGCCCGATCAGATGAAGATTGAGGAGTAGCGTTACAAATCTTTTAAAATGTTGAGTTAAATAGCTCCAGAAGTAGGTCAGGTTCTCAAGTTCATTAAGGAAGGCCATATTCAACAGTCCTGGCACTTCACCACTTATTGACACACAAAGCTTAAGGTGGATTTGAAAGTATTGATGTAAGATGAACAAGTGAAGCAGAGAGGTCTTCTACAGTTACTTGAAGAGGCCATAGAGATATTTAAAAGAGAGAGAGAGGGAGGGACAGAAAACAAATGAAGAAGCCTGTTCCCTGGCTTTTAAGATCTTTTTATCTAACAGAATGCCAGTGGCATGTCAAAATTCCTCTCAATCCAGCCCCAATTTCCAGCCCTATCATTAGGCACAGTGAGATGATCACTTCGGGCAGCAGATCTTTGCTGGGCTGGGAAGGGCAGGTGAATAAAAAAATCAATGATTAAAAAAATCAATCAATCAATCAATGATTAAATAAATAAATAAATGATTAAAAAAGAAATAACAAATCAGATTTTTAAAATTTAAATCAGATTTTTTTTATTTAAATCGGATTTTTTAAATTTAAATTGGAACTTTTTGATTTAAATCAGAACTTTTTGATTTAAATTGGATTTTTAAAATAAAATGCTTTTGGAGGATTTCCCCCCCTAAATATAGTTTTCTATTTAAGTTACATTATAGACCAAAGGCTGTTCATCAGGTAATAAGGATTTGTTTTAAGTTTTTCATGTATGCTAAAACTCAGTCTGGTGTTTTTATAAAAAAAATTGTTTAACCACATCTGTTAACAAACATGGATACATATGCTATAATGTTATTGTTTTGGTTAAATAAATTGTTTAAATTGTTATTCAGGAAATGATTATTCTTCTCCTT